TCTGAAGATGCCGATCACAGGTGCTGGTGAAACATTAGGAAACAAAACTTCCAGAACACGGCCACACAGCCCAGAAGACCCACACCAGCCAATGAGAGCTCCCTTTATGTTCTCAAAATAACTATTTGTTTGCTTGGACTGAGAGACAGTAACTGGGCCAAAGTCAAGTAGTGGTTTTCAGGAATGATAGTGGATTTGGATTAAGACTGGGAAGAACCAGGTTCACCACTTTAATCACTGCATCATAGTAGCTGATTCATAAATTATCTTCTTTCTGCAAATCACAGTTAAGAATAGTTTTTTTTTAATAGCAAACTATGCACAGAACAAAAAATTCTGATTTCTCCAAGCTACCACACCAGTGAAGTGGATAGCATGTGAGACAAAGTCTGGCACATATCACATCTTATTTATTTTTATATGAAAAAAATCACAAATTCTGCATAGAATTAGCTCAACCTACACTATTATTTTCAAGTATATATTATATATTAAGATGCACCAGATCATAAATGTGGTAAATGATACAGAAGACTGATTTTTTCTCTCTATAAAATATATAACTTATATACAACAATGAAACAATACCGAGCTCTTAAATAGTTATTATATAGTATAATGAAATAAGTACATGTTGCTATCATTTAATTACATTAACAGACAACGCATGTTCTGATATTTGGCTTCAAATGTTCCTATTTATTAATAATATTCTGAGGTCTAAGCTATTTCTAATGTAATCCATTACTTATATATAAATTTAGAGCCTCCTCACAAAATTTCTATAATAAGCCAACCAGAAATAATTCCTGATTTTTATTTATTTATTATTTAAATAGATCTATTCTTCTTCTTTCTAAAGAAAGAATTTATGTGAAAATATTAAGTTTAGTATTAGAAATAGATTATGGAATTGGTCTTGAGACTGATCTTTCAAATTAGATCTCTTTTGTTGTCTTATCAAATGTGCCACGATGACAAAAGAGATAGTATGTTTGCATCAGCATACAGAGTGTGTGAGCACAGATCTTATACTCTAGGTCATTGGTGTCAAACTGAAATAGAAACAGGAGTCACTAAATCATACATAAGGATCCCTGTGGGCCGCATGTTGACTTAGAAAACTGCACATATTTATATGTTTATTTTTTTATTAATACATCAACACATTAAAATCAGATGGGAACTAGATATAATACATAAAAAAAGAAACTATTATGAATTTGATATTTGTTTTCAATATTTATGTGTATTTATATATATTTAAATGTATACAATGTATACACACACACACACATATATATGCGCATATATACACACACATATATATATACAAACATACACACATATATTTGTGTGTGTGTGTGTGCGTGTATATATCGTATATATTTCCCCACCTCCCCACTCGGAACTTCTGCCTGGCCTACCGCCGAATTATCATGCAACCTCTTTACTTCCTATTCCTACTCCTACTTATCACTTCCCTGCAATGTCCCCTCTAATTTCTGACATCCCATGTATAGAAAAAAAATGTTTTATGTAACTTTTCTCACACGAAGTACAAATTTGTGTGCCAGAATACAAGAATATGAGTAAACTGCAAATACATGTAATAGTGACATGTTAAAATATTTATGTATTTCTTAGTTAAAGCGTAGAAGCTAGAAAGTATAACAGTATGTCAAACACACGCTCAAAAGTTGTGCCTTCAAGTTATTTTCGACTCTTGGCAACTGCCCCTGCACTTTTCTTGGCAGCATTTTAAGCAATTAACTTGCCAATTCTTTCTTCCTGGGGAGGGGGGAAATTAGAGGCCCAAGGTCACCCAGCTGGCTTTGTGCCCAAGGCAGGACTAGAACTCACCGTCTCCAGGTTTCTAGTCTGACTCCTTAACCACTGCACCAAACTGGCTCTACACATACATGCTTACAGATTATCATATAAACTCAGCAGTCATTGATAACTGCAATCAATATTTGTAAGCATTTAAATCTCTTTCTTTCTTTTGGAATTTGATACTGTAACGTAATGTAATGTAATATAACATAATATAAAGGTCAGTTTGGTGTAGTGGTTAAGACATGAGGCTAGAAACCGGAAGACCATGAGTTCTATTCCGCCTTAGTCACAAAGCCAACTGGGTGACCTTGAGCCAGTCACTCTCTCTCGGCCCTAAGAAGCAGGCAATGGCAAACTACTTCTGAAAGCTTGCAAAGAAAACTGCAGGGACTTGTCCAGGCAGTCACCAGGAGTCAACATTGACCTGAAGACACACACTTAAGAAAGGTAAGAAAAATGTTTAAAAAAAGAAAAAAAAGAAAAGTATTATACAAAAATCACCCCCTTTCATTTTTCCCATTCTTTCCTTCTTCTCTGGATGTATTCTGAACTTATTTAAACTTCAATTATTAATTTAAAAACTGAATTTTTTATACATTTAACAATGATCATGGACCTTGTACAGCCTGAAACTCAACAGATATTAATTAAGCATTTTTTGGAGGAAAAAGAGAAATGAATTAAATCTGTTTTGAGAGAAGAAAGAAATTAAAACTCTTTTGGAGGGAGAAGAGAAATGAATGCAATTTATTTTGGAGGGAGGAGAGAAATGAATGTTACCTGTTTTGGAGGGAGGAGGAAAATTCAACCTTTTTTGAAGGGAACAGAGAAATTAATTCAACCTGTTTTGGAGAGAGGTGCTCCTTCATGTACTGGAAGCTCTGGGATCTGGAGTAGATCGACTACTAGTGCAAGACTGGCTGCCTGCCTGCCTGCCTGCCGTCCAGTGAAAAGCACAAGCTTGCTGCCTCAGCTTAATTGCAGCAGCCACGGGTGTTTGAGGTTGCTGTAGAGCAGACTGAGAGGGAACTCTTGTCATATGGTGCTCCTGTTCAGCCCATGCCAAGGCAGTATCAAGCAATCTTTGCTGCTGCAATTAAGCTGAGGCAGTGAGCTTGTGCAGGACTCCTTGCGAGTCGCAAGCCCAGAGTTTTGGTGACTGGTGACTAAATTTATTATTACTTCATTTTAAAATGTAACACTGTCCATGTTTTGTTGTATTTTTATTTTATTTTCTTAAATATTACCCAACTGCATTTTAATCTAGTTCGGGCTGCACTCGGGAGTGCTGTGGGCCACATGTAGCCTGCATGCCGCATGTTTGACATCTTTGCTCTTGGTAACTTATAGTGCTCTAAGGAGTACAAAATAATTCATAATGAGCACATTCCTTGCTAAATATATTAAATTGTACAATATGACAATATGAAGTATAAAATATATTTTGAATGTTTGTTTGATAAAATAAGAACTGCATGTTTCCTGAAATATTTATAAACTGTTGTTATTATTTCAATGTATATCCTACCTTTCTACACAGGGTACTTTTTCTATGGCTTCAACATTTCCAAAAACATTATAAAACTGGCTTTCAAAAATGGGACATTTTCTGAGGGAAAAAATCAAAGGTACAATGAAAACAGATATAGTTCCCATGAAAGTTTCCATGTTTCATATATACACGTGCACACACACACACAGAGTATGTATGTATGTATGTATATTTGTGTGTGTGTATGTATGTGTGTGTGTGTGTATGTATGTATGTATGTGTATATATATATATATATGAAAGAGATCTCAATATTTGAACAAAATACAAGTTGAGAAAAACAGAAAAAGAGATTGATTACCTAGTGTGAAATCACTGTAATTAGGTTCCAGGCAACCAGCACTATCCAAAATTGATATCTGCTTATTTTTAGCTGTTACAAAATATCCAACACAGACCTAAAAAATAAAAATGAAAATAATACTAAGGCAAATGTAGATAATAAAGAACTGTAGCTCTTTCTTTCTAGGAACAGAAATCGGCTATTAATAGCCTATTAATATATATTATTTACACTACTGAAAATTAAATTAATGTAATATCTATATGCTATTACTAAAAAGGAAAACATTAATAATGTCAGTTGTATTATTTCACATTAACATTTTTTAGTTACTACTTAATAACTTGTATATCAATCTGCAAACTACTGTACTGAAAAACATTTGTATAGGAGAAGGCCTACTTGTGCCATTTTACCAGTAAATTCAAATATGTAAATTCAAATAATCATCAATTAGGCAACGCGCATGGATGAATGAGCTTTTATATAATACAACAGTCAGAATCTATCACTGTGCATAACATGAATCGTAGGTTTCTCTGTGCTACCAGTCCTAATATAACTTTGGAAATTGTGAAGTACACACTCAGTATCAATGGATAAAGCAAAACAATATGAGTAAAAGCAAATTGCGTGACATCAAAATCCACAATAACTTCACCTATAGCCACAATAGCTTCACCTATACTCAATTATAGCACTGCATAAATACTCCATATTAAATATACATAGAAAACACTAATCAGTATATTACAGCACCCGGAGAAATCTATTATATATTATCTCTAGGAAACATAAAACGAAACCAAACAGCTACCAGTGCATTCTCTCCAAAGCAATTCCTCACGATAATAGTAGGTAAGTGGCACAATGTGTTACCACCCCAGTGCAAGTTGAAAAAAAAAATCTATAGATTTTAATAGATTTAAAATGCATGTTTTAAAATATTTAGTTATAATGCTTATATTTTAATATAGCCTAGTTATAAATTAAAAATCACTTTACCATTTCTTTGTTGTATTCATCCAGATAAGTACTGATATTTGAAGCAACAAATTTTGTTTGGTCTTTCACTGTGGTGTTCCAGCTAGGACCGAGATTTCTTTGTATGTATGTATGCATGCATGTATGTATGCGTAGAAAGATAGATGATAGATAGATAGATAGATAGATAGATAGATAGATAGATAGATAGATAGATAGATAGATAGATAGATAGCACAAAGGCAA